TGACTAAGGACTTCTCGTTCTTCTCGCCCACATCACACGTGTACTCTAGACTAGATATGTTCTTCATCCAACACAGATTCCTACACCTAATACAATCCTCAGAATATGGCTCCATCACGTGGTCAGACCACGCGCCCCTGGTACTAGTCATACAAATACCCACCATCCCACAAAAACTATTCCAATGGAAACTTAACGACCTCCTTCTAAATAACCCAGAGATTGTTTTGCAGCTTAGAGACTCTATAGACAACTATTTCACCATCAATGCTACCCCATCCTCACCCCCACCTCTCACGTGGGAAGCGCACAAATGTGTGCTGAGAGGAGAAATAATAGCACTGGCAGCAAGACACAAAAAGATACGAGAGGCCTCCATTCGAACACTCACAGAGGACATACGGAAACTAGAAATCAGACACAAAACAGACACGCGACTAGAAACTTACAAAGCCCTCACAGCTAAAAGGTCTGCCCTACAGGACTGTCAGGATCGTGACAGGGATCCAACACGCAGAATACAAACAGGGGATAGGTACGTATACCGGACCTTAGAATGGCCGGACTAACGTAAGGAGAAAGCAAAAGAATAGTCAGAGACAAGCCGAGGTCGAGGGAACGAGAGATCAGGTAAGCGAGAGACAAGCCGAGTCAAAAGGACAAGAGAGGAAAGCAGGGTCAAAATACAAGCCGAGTCAGGAACCAAAAGATAATAGAGGTAATTGCACTGAGTGACCAGACTAGCTAGAACCACGACAGGGCAATGAATCATTCCACAAAACCCTCTTTTATACCTTGGCTCTTTAACTGTTGGCCCCGCCCCCAACGAGTCCTGATTCGTTGTTCGGCACTTGGTTGCCGTGATTGACGGTCGGAACGTGATTGCCGTCATGACGTCGGCTACTGAGCGCCGCGTCATAAAAGGAGGCGGAGCTATCGCGGCCGGCGTGTAAACGGCCGGGAGGAGTGCAAGGATCGGGTGAGTCAGCCCCCCTGGGAGGATGGACGTCTAGGTGTCTACCCTCCTCCGAGGTAGACACCAAAGGTACCCTGACAGTACCCCCCCTCTCAGAAACGCCCACCGGGCGGAAGGAACCGGGGCGGGACGGAAAACGAGCATGAAATGCCCGGAGGAGACGAGGGGCATGCACATTTTCCTGGACCACCCAAGACCTTTCTTCAGGCCCATACCCCTTCCAGTCAACAAGATATTGCAACTTCCCCCGAGAAATACGAGAATCGAGAATGGATTTGATTTCATATTCCTCCTGACCCTCAACCTGGACAGCGAGAGGGGAGGACTCAGGGGAGGAAAACCTGTTGCAAACCAAAGGCTTCAATAAAGAAACATGAAAAGAGTTAGGGATGCGCAGGGCAGGCGGAAGGGCAAGACGATATGCAACCGGGTTAATTCGACACAGAACCTTGTAAGGGCCTATGTAACGAGGAGCAAATTTCATGGAAGGAACCTTCAAGCGGATGTTTCTGGTACTCAACCACACCCTATCACCCGGGGCAAAAACCGGAGCCACCCGTCTCCGTTTGTCAGCGTGTCGTTTGAACACCAAGGAATTCTGAAGAAGAATTCGTCGAGTCTGATCCCACAACTTTCTCAGATTGGCGACATGAACATCAACCGACGGAACCCCTTGGGAAAGGGAAACCGACGGAAGAATGGAAGGATGAAAGCCATAATTCAAGAAAAAGGGGCTAGAACGAGTAGAATCACAAACGAGATTGTTGTGTGCAAACTCTGCCCAAGGAATCAGACCAACCCAATCATCCTGGTGTTCAGAAACAAAACAACGCAAATATTGTTCAATCTTTTGGTTGGTGCGTTCGGCAGCTCCGTTGGACTGGGGATGATAGGCAGATGAGAAATTCAACTTGATGCCTAAGTGAGAACAGAAAGACTTCCAAAAGCGGGAAACAAATTGGGAAACTCTATCAGAAACAATTTCAGAGGGAATACCATGTAAACGAAAAATCTCCCTCGCGAATATCTCAGCTAATTCGGGAGACGAGGGCAGTTTAGGCAAGGGCACAAAATGAGCCATTTTAGTAAACCTGTCAATCACCGTGAGAATAACAGTATGCTTTTTAGAAACAGGCAAATCGACAATGAAGTCCATAGCCAAACACGACCATGGTCTCTCGGGAATTTCTAAGGGATGTAAAAGTCCACAAGGGAGCGCGTGAGGTTGCTTAGTCTTCATACAGACAGCACATGCCCTGACGAAATCCCTTATATCCTTAAGAAGGGAAGGCCACCAGAAATCTTTAGAAATCAGGGAACACGTTTTGCGTATGCCGGGGTGCCCAGCAATTTTACTGTCATGAAAGCAATGCAGCAGTTCCACTTGGAGCTCAGGAGGAATGAAGTATCGATCCCCAGGAACAGGTTTGGGAGCTAGATGTTGTACTTTCTTGATCTCAGCAAGCAACGGCGAGTGTATCCTGACACAAGTGTTGGCAATAATATTACACTTAGGAACGATAGAAGACAAAGCTGCTTCAGACACCGTAGAGGGTTCATGTTGACGGGACAATGCATCTGCCTTAGAGTTCTTAGAACCAGGTCTATAAGTGAGCACGAAATTGAAATGTGTCAGAAACAAGGACCAACGAGCTTGCCTGGCGGACAAGCGCTTGGCCTCCCCTATGTAGGACAAATTCTTGTGATCAGTCAAAATAGTAACCGGGTATAATGTCCCCTCCAACAAATGTCTCCATTCCTTTAAAGCCATAATGACCGCTAACAGTTCCCTATCACCAATGCCATATCTACTTTCAGGCCCAGATAATTTCTTGGAAAAAAAACCACAAGGATGTAACGGTTTATCCAAACCTAGCCTTTGGGACAAGATAGCGCCTATACCTGTCTCCGAGGCGTCAACCTCGAGTAGAAAAGGCAAAGATGTGTCAGGATGAACTAATATTGGTGCTGAGGCAAAATGTTCCTTGAGAGTTTTGAAAGCAGAGAGAGCCTCTGTGGACCAAGTCTTGGTATCAGCCCCCTGTCTAGTCATATTAGTAATAGGAGCAATAATAGAAGAGTAACCTTTAATGAAGCGCCTATAATAATTGGAAAATCCGATAAATCTCTGAATGGCCTTGAGTCCCCTGGGCAATGGCCAATCTAAAATCGATTGGAGTTTAATGGGGTCCATCCTAAATCCGCCTCCAGAAATAACGTAGCCAAGAAAGTTTATCTGAGATTGGTCGAAGCTACACTTTTCCAATTTGCAGTACAATCCATGTTGTAACAGTTTGCGCAGTACCCTTCTGACTTGTCTG